AAGTATGGTGAGACCTGGGGACTCCTGAGCCCATGGACAAGGACATAGCAATGGAGGGCTAGAGCTTAGAATGAAACATCCAGCTGATATGAAGGGAAGGGAGATGCACAAGAACACCCAAACTTGCAGATAGTACCCATTTGACCTTGCCTCTACGGCTTTATAATCAGAACTCGACTAGAGGAAAATTACCCCCCCAAAAAAACCAACAACAAACAAAAAAAACCACACACACAAAAATAACTATTTTTGATAAATGAAACGAGGGTAAATTGCTACAATTTGATGAACTTGACCTATACTCATGGAGGTAGTAACTCTAAATACCAACAGAGAGGGAAGGAGTCCAGATCAAGTGTCAATGCTATACCCTCTTTACACAGGGTAGACAGGGATGGACAGCTTAGATATTGACGATTACCTAAAATGAGGGGGTGATGGAAGCATGAAGTGACTGGCTTACAAGGTTTAAAGAAAGAGTTTAGTTTAAAAATGTGTGGGGAAACAAAGAGTCCCCATTGAATAATTTTCATCTTGTTTAGATGGGTCTCGTTAAAAGAGATGGAGATAAGATTCTTATGATTCAATAGTGAATAAGGTATCATGTTTAATTGCAACTGTCACAATTGTAAAGGCAAAAATTTTATGACAAAAATGGGGAAGTAGTTAATTTTACAGTCCAGAAGCAAAGGCCCCTAAGATCAGCAAGGGAGAAGAGCATAAGAGGAATGTGGGACCATATCCAGAGAGGCAGTGACACCAGAAATGGAGGCAGAGATGGGGAGATGGAGAGAGGGATCAGTTGAGGACTCTAGATTCATGGAAAGAGAGGAATTGAGAGATGGAGACCAGGAGGCAGACTTGCAGAAGGTGCCCTTTGGTGGTGTAAATGATTATATATGCCTAAGTGGTTTTTTGTTTTTTGTTTTAAAAAAAGAATTAAAGTGAATAGAGAGAAATACTGTTATCTTATGGTACATGGAGGGGATTATAATCATTGTAATGAAACAAGGTGTATGATTTGTTGAATGTAAAACAAAAACAAAAACACTCAGGAATATATAATCATTTAAACATCCAAAGGGCAAATTTGCAAGCCTGCCCCCTGGTCACTAGCACACAGCCTTTCTCTTTCCAGGAGTCTTCAGCTGCTCTATTTCTCCATGTTCTCATCTCTGCCTCTATCTCTGGTGTAGCTGTTTGTCTGGATAGGGTCCCACATTCTGCTCATGATCTTCTCCCTTCATGGTCCTAAGGTCCTCTGTTCCTGGACTGCAAGCTTAACTACTCCCCCTCTTTTTGTTACAAAACTTGCATCTTTACAGTTGTGACAGTTGCAATTAATAATGATAACTACTCTCTACTGAATCATGAGAATCTTATCCCCATCGCTTTTCACCAGACCCCTCTACAAAAGATGAAAACTATTCAGTGGGGATGCTACTTTCTCCCCCATACTCTGAAACTAAACTCCCTCTTGAAAATTTGTAAGCCAGGAACATTGTACCTTTATAGCCCCTCCCATTTTAGGTAGCCAATGTTTAAATTGCCCACCCCTATGAACCCTGTATAAAGAGGGAACAGGAGACTCCTTCCCTCTCAATTGTTATTTTGAACTACCACATCCATAGTATAGGTTAAGTTCATCAAATTGTAGCAATTTTCACTTGTTTTCTTTATCAAAAACTTTTTTTTTTTTTTTTATCTTCCTGGGAAAATTATTGAATGATGCAGAAAGCATCAAGAGAAGATGGAAGGAATACACAGAGTCATTGAACCAAAAAGATATGGTTAATGATTCAAGTGGTAGCATATGATCAAGAGCCAATGATACTGAAGGAGGAAATTCAAGGTGCATTGAAGGAATCGTCAAAGAACAAGGCACCAGGAACTGATGCAATAAAAACTGAAATCTTTCAAGAAAGTGAGGAGGCACAGGAGGCACTCACTCATCTCTGCCAAGAAATTTGTAACACAACTATCGGACCAACTGATTAAAAGAGATCCATATTTGTGCCCATTCCAAAGAGAGGTGACCCAATGGAATGCAGAAATCATTGGACAATCTTTTTGATATCCCATGCGAGTAAAGTTTTGCTAAAGGTAATACAGAAATGGCTGCAATCATACATTGACAGAGAACTTCCAGAGGTTCAAGTTGGATTCAGAAGAGGCCCTGTAATGAGGGATATCATTGCTGATGTCTGATGGATCTTGGCTGAAAGCAGGGAATACCAGAAGGATGTTTACCTGTGCTTTATTGACTACGCGAAGGCTTTCGATTGTGTGGATCATGACAAGCTATGGACAACATTGCGAAGTATGAGTATTTCAGAACACTTAATTGTGCTCATGAGGAATCTGTACCTGGACCAAATGGCAGTTGTTCGAACAGAAAATGAGAACACTGAATGTTTTAAAATTAAGAAAGTTATGCAACAAGGTTGTATTCTTTCACCATATTATTCAACCTGTATGCTGAGCAAATAATCCAAGAACCTGGGTTATATGAAGAAAAACATGGCATCAGGACTGGAAGAAGACTCATTAATAACCCATGACATGCAGATGATACAACCTTGCTTGCTGAAAGTGAAGAGGACTTAAAATATTTACTGATGAAGATCAAAGAGCACAGCCTTTGGTATGGATTACATCTCAATGTAAAGAAAACATAAATCCTCACCACTGGACCAATAAACACCATTCTTATCAACAGAGAAAAGACTGAAGTTGTCAAGGACTTCATTCTTCTTGGGTCAACTATCAACACTCACGAAAGCAGCAGTCAAGAAATCAAACGACGTATTGAATTAGGAAACTCTGCTGCACAAGACCTTTGAAGTGTTGAAGAGCAAAAATGTCAGCTTGAGGACTAAGGTGCACTTGACCCAAGCCATAGTATTTTCAATAATCTCATATGCATGCAAAAGCTGGACAGTGAATAAGGAAGACCGTAGAAGAATTAATGCTTTTGAGTTATGGTGTTGGAGGAGAATATTGAAAGTGCCACGGGCTGCCAAAAGAACCAATAGATTCTTTTTGGAAGAAGTGCAGCCAGAGTGCTCCTTGGAGGGCAGGATGGCCAAACTTCATCTCTCATACTTCGGACATGTTGTCAGGAGGGACCAGTCACTGGAGAAGGATATCATGTTTGGTAAAGTGGAGAGTCAGAGAAAAAGAGGAAGACCCCCAACAAGACAGAATGGCCAAGTGACAGCATCGATGGACTCAAGGGTGGCAACGGTATTGAAGTTGGCCCAGGATCGGGCAGTGTTTCGTTCTGCTGTACATAAGATCGCTATGGATCTATACTAAGTCGATGGCACCTAACAACAACAACAGTTGAGTTCTGATCATTAGGCCATAGAAGCTAGGTTGAATGGGTACAATCTACAAATTTGGGCGTTCTTGTCATCTCCCCTCACTTCATATCAGCTGGGTGTTTCACTCTCAGCTCTAGCCCTCCATGGCTATGTCCTTGTCCATGGACTTAGGAGTCCCCAGGTCTCACCACACTTTGCACCAACCAGCCCTTTCTCTTCTCACTCTCATCACAAGGTCAATGGGAGTCTATGGAACTTGGTCAAATTCATCCCATATCTTCATTGCTGCCTTTCCCCCTCTTCCACTTAACAGCAGACCAACATGGTGACATCAAGCTTGTATGCCTGCTCATGGGTTCCTCACCAAGGTAGTTCTTTCATATCCCCATGTGACTCTTATGAATCCATACATAGCCATAAGAATCACTAGGGGATGTTGTTAAAATGTAGATTCTGATTCAGCTGATCTGGGTTGGCAATGCAAATTTTAGTAGAGGAGAGAACCAGAATGAACTTGTGGGAGGCCTGATTATTTCACTCCACACACACCAAGAGCATTATAAATGTGGCTTTTCAAGGCAAAGATGATTAATGGACATACTCTGTATTCTTTCATGAAGTCTTAGAGTGGTGCTATAGGATAAGCACTCTATAAGATCAGTTTGAATTGCAAGGTGTATGGTTCAAACTCACCAGCCATTCCTCAGAAATCCTATACAATATCACTATGAGTCAGAACTGACTGGACTGCATTTAACAACAGCAACATACTCTTTCAAGATACTTTTTTTTTTTTTAATTATGGGATAATGTTTCAAATGTCAATTCTCTCATTTCCATGTTACTTACATATTTTTTCAATCATCCTTCATTCAAACTTTTAACAAGTGTCTTTCCTTAATCACCAAACTTGTAATACAATGGTATTTTAAGTTTGGTGATTAAGGAAAGATGCTTGTTGAAAGTTTTGCAAATCTTGACAACTTATATGTAAAAACAGTTCTTTAAAAAGGTTAGTATTATGTCTAGAACTCATCCTAATGTTTAATATTATATAAATGAAAAAAAAATCTCTATATATTTTTTATAGGGTCCTAGTGTGGCACTGAAGGATAAGAACTGGATAGGTAAGCTTAAGGTCAGCAGTTCAAATCTATCAGCCGTTCCTCAGAAAACCTTTACAAGGTTGCTCTGAGTCGAAACTGACTTGACAGCACTTAACAACAGCATAGGTAGTTTGATAGATAGATGGAAATATATTTAAATTTGGAAGGAGTTGCCAATCTGAATACTTTATAGTATTTGTTCATAATATCTAAAAGCTCATCGTGTATCAAACTCAACAAATCCCCACAAATAATCCTAGTTTTGTACTGATAAAGAACATATATGAGATTTCTGTTTTTCTTGATACAGATACAAAAACTCCATAAATTTTTTAGGTTCATGATATTGCATTTATGCTTAATCAGAAGTATTATTTTGTTTTGAAGAATGTGGCCCCATGTTCAGTCATAATAGCCTGTTTTGCAGCGATTCAACACTTGACTGTAAAGTAAATACTTAACAATAGAAAGGCTCTGCTGTCTGCCTCAGGAAAATGTCTGTCAAGAAATGAGAATGTGTCATTTGACTAATTTCAATCCCCCCTACTTCTGCATTGGTGCTTCATACCTTGGTCATTCTGGCAGATGGCCTTCAGGATACGGTGCCCCAGACCACATTTTCCATGATCAGGGATACAGATCCCTTCAGATACCAGCCATTGATAACACACTGGATCCTCACAAGGAACCGATTCCACCAAATGAGGGCAATATCCAGTTGGCCCTGTGGGTTCCATGAGAACATGGCGCTGCCTTGTTCTAAATCCTAAAAAGAGAGAAAACCAAAGTTTCAGAGGATTCCACCATTATCTGACAAAGGAAAAGTACCAGCAATTGACTAAGAGGTAACATTTTCACTTGAACACAGGTCTAAAGGTGGTATGTGAGTTGGTGTATTTTATTTTTCTGGTGATGGGGGGAATGAGAAAAGGAAATAAAATGAAAAAGAACTGGAGTAGAAAACCTAAAGTTAGAGACAGCAGGCATAATTAAATGGAATAATAAATAGCATGTTTTCAATCCATCACTCAATCAGTAAGAATAAAGGATGACTTTCATAGAAATTACATAAACATACAATAGATGAATTTGTATCATATTTTTTGTAGTTTTTTTTAGCATTTGTGTTCCTCTTCTTTGAATTGAAATCATCTACACAGTATATCTCTGGTATCTGACCACTCAACAGCTTGTATCAACATACCCAGTAAAGAAAGGACATCTTTGGACTGGCTAGACATGGGTTCCTGAACATTCAGGCCTACACAAACTCAATGTCAACAGTATTCAAGCAAATACAAAATAAAGGAACTGGGTCAACTATAAGTTTGAAGGACCTGGTGTGACACTGTAGGATAAGCACTGGACCGCAAGGTCAGTTTCAACCACATTGTCCAACTTTTGCATGCATATGAGGCTATTGAAAATACCATGGCTTGGGTCAGGCACACCTCAGTCCTCAAACTGATATCTTTGCTCTTGAAAAACTTTAAAGAGGTCTTGTACTGCTGATTTCTTGACTGCTGCTTATATCAGTGTTGATACTGGATCCAAACAAAATGAAGTCTCTGACCATCTTTTCTCCATTCGACCTGTTATTATTCATTGGTCTAGCAGTGAGGATTTTTGCTCTCTTTATACTAAGAGGCAACCTATACAGAAGGCTGAAGGCTGTGGTCTTTGATCTTCATCAGTAAGTATTTTAAATCTTTTTCACTTTCAGCAAGCAAGGTTGTATCATCTGCTTGTCACATTCTTCTTAATATAACCCAAGTTCTCAGATTACTTTCTCAGCATACACATGGAATAAATATAGTGAACGAATACAACCCTATTTTTAAATTGTTGGTGTTGTTAAGTGCCATCGAGTCCATTTTATTATACTTTAAATAATATAAAAATCAAAAAAAAAGATGACTAGAATTAGACCTAACTCTTTCACCTGTAACTTTTTAATTTCTAGTTCTCACAATGAATTTTAAAAAAATATTCCTATCTTACAAGGCACTTAATTTTTTCCCCATTAGTTAATATTGAATTCAATCAACTAATTTATGTTTTTAAAAAGCAATCACTTTCCTTGGCTAACACTTTAAGGAATTATATTACTCATTTATTCCTTGAGATTTTGATAGGAAGATCAAGAACATGAGATGATCTTATTCCAAAAAATAGTTAGATATGCCAGTACCCATTCCATAAGATTAGGGAGAGGACAAATTAAGGAACATGAGAGTTGGCGAAGCCAGTTACCTCTTTTCACAGGAGCCAGGGCTCTTGGTGTGGAAGATAAGCACTGGACTGCAAACCAAAAGGTTAGCAATTCAAATCCACCAGCATTTATTGTTTTCTGTTTTACTGAATTTTGCTACGAATGCTGGGGTGAGATGATATCTCATTGTATTTTGATTTGCATCTCTCTAATGGCGAAATAGGGTAAGCACTGAACCACCAGGTCAGTTTGAACTACAAGGTCGGAGGTAGCCAGCTTCCTTAGAGTTGTACTTGGCTATGAAAGTATTTGTGGGAACTTCTGCTCCCATAAAATTTGGCAGCGTTGGAATCCCTATACATATTCAAGACCTTCAGGAGAAAGATTAAGTATTTGGTTACCATATTTACAGCCTTGGAAACCTATGAATATCCTATTCTGTCCTGTAGGGTCTCTATGAGTCAGAATCCAATCTAAGACATAGATGTTTGAGTTTTGGTTTGGGCAAGTACTTTAGAAAGACAGTCAAAAGTGCTTTCTCAAAGATTTCTTGGTCTAGGGTAACCAGTGCCATCTCTTTAATGAGATGTTTACTGTAAGGATCAGCCAACCATCGGTGTCATTCAGTCAATCAGTCAGTTCCTTCTTGTTCTCATTCTCATGCATTAAAAAATAAGGTCAGAGTGACAGAAAAAAAGAACATATGTATATATATA